CCATAGTGAGAAAGACAAAAAAAAAAAAAAAATATGGAGGGGCGTTGGTGTAATGGCTATGTCGCTGGACTCCCATGTAGTCAACCACGGTTCAAGTCCTGGACCCGGTGGCTTAAACTCGCACCGGGTGCATGTGTGTGCATGCCCAAGATCCCGACAGGAGAATGGAGGAGAAGGGATTGCGGTGTGGCCACCCCCCCGAAGGGTGATTTCTCGCTTTCTGTCTCTCTCTTTCTGGTGAGCGCATGCGCCCTATAGAAAAACCTCTCCAAAAAAGATAAAAAAATAAAATGGAATGACACGAAACTCCTCTTCTGCTATAGCAGCAACTCTTGAAAGGGTCAGATTCCAAAAGAGCTTAATTTTTTAAAAAAATTATTATTCATTTAATTCATTACTGTTATTATTATTATTTTTAATTTGCTACAGGGCATGTGTGCTCACCAGAGAGAGACAGAAAAAGTGAGAAAACAAGCCACCAGGGCTGGGACTCAAACTGTGGTCGACCATGTGGGAGTCCAACGCCTTAACCACCATGCCACCTGCTGGCCCCAAGAGCTTACTTCTTATGAACTGAAATAAGCTTCAGGAGGAGGGCTTACTTAGGATTTTATCACTGTTACAGCATCCCATTTCCGATATAAGCCAGGGAACAGTGAGTAGTGTGGGGTCCCAGGGGGTGTGGGGAGAGGGTGGGCAGAGAGCAGGGGACTGTGAGAGAACCTCTGCCCTTCTGGAGGCTGAATCCCACCACTTCCTCCTGGCTGGGCTTTGTGAGTCCGCAAATCCACACGGTGCAGAGGGCAGGGGTCCAGATGTGAAGACAGACAAATAAGAAGCACTCAATGGGGGCTGGCAGGTGGCGTCGTGGTTAAGGATGCTGGACTCCCACATGGCCGACCATGGTTCAAGTCCTGGACCTGGTGGCTTGCTTCCTCACCTTCTCTCTTGCTTTCACTCTTGCTCTGTTCCTATCTGGTCAAATTAAAATAAATAAATAAAGTTAAAAAAAATTTTTTTTGAGAGATTTTCACTGTAGGGCGCGTGCACTTGCCAGACAGACAGAGAGAGACATAGAGACAGAAAGCGAGAAATCACCCCCCAGGG